CTGTAATTGGAATCATTTCTCCAAGGCAAGTGGGTCTTCCCCCTCTTCCCCACCTCCCCCTCCCATCAGACTACCCTTCCCCCCCCCCACTTCCTCTTGGGAAGACACCTGTTCCTGGACACAGTAAAGCCTGTATGAAGCGACAGTCAGCATCCATAATAATTAAGATAATAAAATAGTGATCCTTGCAATTGATTCCATCACTTATTAAATGATCAGGTCCAAATGAGTATTCAAACGGGGTTCAATTGTCACTTTGCACTTCCATATCCACTGCTAATGTGTACAGAAAGCCATCAGTTTTCTGCATTCTGTCTGGGTTCTGCCCTAAAAAAATGGCTGATTTGAAGACAATCAGGTCCCTGCACATGTTGTAAACTAATGTCCCAGTAGATGGCTATTACAAACCAGTGGTCTTTTTGAAGAAAGCCAGGCAACTTCCTGCACACATTTTGAATTTTGAGGCAAGTAAAGGTCAAGAGTCCAGACACAATCTCTCTAAAAACAAATATAATAATGTTCTACTATATTATGTGAGAACGGGATCAGGCTTGGCTATAATCACTTCAGCCTGCTAGCATTTGCTATCTGGAATTGCATATAATGGCCAATTAGGAAAGATATCAGAGGACACCTAACTGACTAGGAACCACAGCCCACACGAGCAATGTATTTAAATGAAGAGGTGAGAAAACATTCATGTCCATATTAGTTGTACAAACAGCACACAGTAAATATTTGCAGCTTCGGAAGTTTGAGAGAAGCTGATTAAAACTACTTTACAACAGTTTAGAAATAAAACTATGATGAGTTTCACAGTTTTCATACCATCGGCAAATGCCAGCTGCATTCACAACACCTCTGTCACCATGGCTGTTTTGAAGCATTGACAACACACAGACAACCTTCAAAGTTACACAACCACAAGTAAACAAGACCAAACAAACCCCTTAATCACTGCCATCCTCAAAGGCCCAGATGACAAGATCATCAGAAGCATTCTCAAGTGTAATCCATATTTGAGGTACTATTTATATCTTAAAGAAGACAAACATAAATATGAGTAACAATCAAACAATCTATCTCTGGGATTTCTATGTGTAGGTGGGATGCATGGAATTGTCATCTTGATTTGGATAGTTTTACGCATGGTGATTAGTTTCCGCATGTGTTAAGATACCCGGCTGGCCCCGCTGGAAGCACCCAAGCTCTATTGTTATAAAAATATCAAACTCATATAAATATGTTCTATAATCAGAACACTACATTTAGCATGGTTTAATACCAGGTGTAAAGACAAGTTATACTGTTCAACAGTATTAAAGAGCTGATGCATACTGATGCAGTATCCCCTATTTTTATAGCGCAGAATTTCAAAGCTATGGTCAAAAGTTAATTTATGATGATTTCGACACACAGAAGAAAAAATATGGATTAATATGGCGTAGTTCCAGTTATTTTCTTCACTTTCTAATGACTAATCTTTCTGTTCATTTCAAGGCCTTGTGCTAACTGGAACTTGAGCAGCTCTAATACTGCACATTATTTTGAGCCAATGACATTGTGCTCCATACCTCGAATTGATCTTCCCACACAAAATGAGATTTACTACAGCAGGGAACTATTTCAGGGACACACTGAAATCCTAAATAGAGATTTTTTTTGGATAACTGAGTAACTAACTGATAGGCAGAAACCCATCACTAAACTTTAAGAGTCTCCAACCAGACAGAGTGCCAATATGCATACCATCTATATACACAATTTTCCCCATTACTTCTTTTCGACCGCGCCTTTGGTCACCTTCCCACCCCTCCCCCTGGCTCGGTCCCGGGATCCTAAACTATAAAGCGTCCAGTGTGGAGGGCGCTATACAAATCCAAATTATTGTTGAATGCACACTCTCTCCCTGGAAGGACACTCCCATATCCTGCTTACCTAATTCCAGAGTATTAGGTCTAGATTGGCAGGAGCGAAGGCTTGGGAATCCCAGTGTGCGTTAGGGTACTGCTGGAGTCTAACCAGCTAAAACCGCATAGCTTGTCAATGAGTGTATTATCTGGCAAGCTTTCCACTGAATCCAGCTGGAAGCACCCAAGGCATTAGGGCTTTGGCTTGCAGGGTTAATATGAACTGAGTGGGAACAATCCTTGCTTCCAGTGACTGGTTTGACCCTTGAAGTTCTGCTGAAGAGCCAGGCTGGCTAGTTAGACATCAGCAGTGCCCTGAAGTACTGTGGACCATATTGTGGATCAGGAGCTGGATGACCGAGATTGCCATAGAAGGTTGACTTGATTCCGACATCCCATTGCCAATTATGTCATCTTGGAGCCACGGAGATGCCCTTACCTCCCGCCAAACAAGATAGTCAACAAGTAGAGAAGCACAAACCTGTATCATGTTAAAAGAATCAGTAAATCAATTTATTTTCTTTAAAAATGTTGGCAACAAGATAGCATTTAACATTAAAGGTAAACAGATCAAGTTTAGACTGGATTGGTGTACAGAACTATTTAAAAAAGTGTCCAAAACTCTTTCCATCAAGAGTATAGAGGTTCTTTTAATAGTTTGTCTTTTAATTTATTTCCCAATCTCCCATATTGTACACCATTCACTGGCCAAAACAGTGGACTCTCATACTTTGCCCTCTACCAACCTTTGCCTTCAGCTGGTAAATGACAATTTGAATAGCACCTTTCACATAGGATAACATCTCAAAGCACTTTACAGGGATCAAGTGGAACTCCATCATCTGCTCCCATACAATAGAAACCCTGTCCAAAACTGCACAAGAGATGTGCAGACCAATCAGGATCTTACAGTTTTCCCAACTATTCTCTATCCCATGACAACATTTTCATAAGTCTAACCAACAGTTATTCTTGGCCTCACCATCTCCTCAGATGAGAAAATGAATGCTCTCATTTCTTCCATTACTAATGCAGATCTCAAGAAGCCAAGTCTATTTTTTTCTGCCAAAATTTATTTTTCCTTCTACAACTTGTATCTTTCTTTTCCACAAGCTCAAGATTTTGCAAGTCTTTATCATCCAATCATCCTTTTCACCTTTAATCTGCAGACCTTTAATACCAAAACTTAATGTCACCTAATCAGTTCTTAGTTTGTCTTGATATTTCTGTTACTCTTTTCAATGTTGGTGGTTCTTTGCAATATAGATCCAATGTTGGTCTTTCAATTAACAGTTTGCAGCACATCACATTGGGATGACTAATAATAATATGGGATACTGGAATATACTGTAGTTCTTTCATCAATTTATGAGATGTAATACTCACTATTCATTTTTGCAATTTTATATTGTTGAGAATTCCAACTTTAACTGGAAGAAAATGGTTGCTCGTTTAGATGAAAGATAAAGGTGCAATGCAGCCAAAACCAAAGGAGAATCGGAAAGCCATTTAGATTGTAATGTTGAATTAAATGCTGCAAGTGTATTGTAGGTTGCCATCCAACTATTCTCCCTTGGGAAAACCCTGTTTAGGTTAATGCTTGCTTCTGAAGCATAATTAGGAACTAACCAACGGGAGGAATGTCCTTGTTTTTAGTACTTCCATGACAGGGTGAAAAGCAAACCGAGATAATGTCTTTTTTTTCCATAAAATACAACCGACTCAGAATTGACCAAAGAAATTATTCAAGACATTATTCCAGACAAATCTACATTGGAGCCTTGATCAGTTCCTTTACAGTATGCTCTCTATCCGCAAAGAAGTACAGGCACTCGTGGGGGGGAAAAAAACCAAATAGATCAAAGCAAATGATACCTCAGCCTCAGAGAACTGTTTGACACACACACACACACACACACACAGCGCCCCTCCTAACTTCAAATCACCACCCCGATAAAGGGTGGCGACCAACACCGGCACCGAGTGGGCAAGAGACCACATGTATTTTGTTGGGGGGCGTCACTGACATTCAACCGAGAGAAACGAGAAAAAAAAAGGTTGTCACTGTCGAATCATAAAAAGAAGCTGCACACACTGTAACTGCACTGTATAGACAGTGTGTGTATATATACAGTGTGTGTATACACACACACACACACACCAGCACATCAACCCCACTCGCCAACGTGAGAAACCTGCCCATATTTAACTGTGACTGTGTTCAGCCTCCCTCCCTGCCTCTCTCCCTGCCTGGGGCAGGAGCCTGGGGCAGGAGCAGCCATTCCCTGGGCCAACATGTTTAGAGGTTGCCAGGGCCGGGCCTCCTGCTCAGTGTACTCACCCGGAATTTCTCTTTCTCTCTCTCACACTCTCTCTCTCTCTCTCTCTCTGGGAACTGCAACAGCTGATCCGGCTCCCAATTCCACACCTCGCGCAAGACGTCACCGAAACCTGCGCTCCTTTTCTCCTCCTCCTCCCCCTCCCTCCCTCCCTGCCTTCTGGCCGACACGTCACAGAAACCTGCGCTCTTTCCCACTCTCTCGCTCCCCCCCCCCTCCCCCGCGCGCGTCGCGTCGTGTCGCGTCACCGCTCCCTGTGTAAACAGTGCCGCTCGCGGCGTGGTCAGGATCACAAACGCGCTCGTAGCCCAACATCCCCCCCCCCCAATGTAGTCAGGTATTACGTATTACACGTTGGTGGCAGAGCGGCCGATTCAGCTTTGGTGCTTTTGAAACCAATACGAGGTCTCTTGCAAAAGAGCGGGTGGGGAGGGCGAGGAGGGAACGTAGTGCGGGTTTAAATTTTTTTTCGAATGCGGCACCCGCCCAGTCGTTTTTTTTCACGCGCAGCGCAACGAAACCCCGCCCAATCGGGCTTGAACCCGCCCAACCTGACCACCGGGGCCGCTCCGCTCAGCTGTGACGTGACACGTGTTCCGCCGAGAGCCGCCCGCCCTCCCACCCGCACCGCCCAGCGGTCCGCTCTATGGTTGTTCCATCTCCCCTACCACCCCCCCCCTCCTCCTCCTCCTCCATTTGAAGTGGACATGTTGAGTTTCTTGTTAAAAAAAACACTTCGAAACGATGGGAAGTTTTACGGCTGCGACGGTGGCGCGGAGGAAGAGCGGGAAAGGCGAGAGAGGGGAACATTGTCAGGAACTGAACCACGTAAAGATGATTTATTTTCTCTCGCTCTCTTATTAACCCAGCAGGGATGCTGGCCGTCCTCTCGGGGCGGGGTTTGACTTGCGGCGGCCGTAGGTTGCCGGCAGTTGCCCCCTCGGGAGACTACAACCCCCAGAGTGCCCTTCGGGGGGCGGGGCGGGGGCGAGGAGAACCTGCGTGTCACGTCATCACCAAGTGCCCGGCGGTGTCGCTTCGCCGAGGTCGCGCATGCGCGGGGGTCGGCCGCTTGGCCGGAGAGCATTGTTTGCGTCGGCGCACGTGCGTGCTTACGTACGTGTACGCACGCTGAGAGGGGGGAAGAAGATAAGACGTCGCTGGAGAGGAAGTGGTGGGTTTCCTTCCTGCTCCCAGTCAGTCAGTCAGTCAGTCCGGCTGCTGTGTAACTAGTGGATTGTTAGTTTACAACAGGAAATGTATGAGAATTAAAAACATTTTTTTGTTAGAAAAAAAACACACAACATACATGTGAGTAATTTCACGCCGTGAGTTACCTTCTCCTCTTTCCCCCCCTCCCTCCCCTCCCTCCTCTCCCCTCCCCCCCCCTTTTTTTTTACACTTTTCAGGCAAATTTAATCTGAAGTGAGGAAACAAAAAAAATATGCCCAGAAGGAAACAGTCCAATCCTCAGCCTGTGAAAAGTAAGTACTCTTGTTGTATTATGGTAATGCTAAAAGTGTGCGATTGGGAAAGATGACGATGGAAAAGAGAAGCAGGGAGTTTCAAACAAGTGAGATTTATACCCTTGTAAAAGATTAATTCTAATGTGATACTGATCTACGTTTTAGGAACGAGAGGGAGGGATGTGTGAGGAAAATGGAGCTTAGTACCTTAGTCACAGTGGGGAATTGGAGAGTAAGTTTCTCACCACCAAATGTTACCTTTAAACCATGGTGAATTTAAATACTGCTTGTTTAGAGAGATTACTGTAGTTCATTGCAAGCTATGTAATTCAGTGGCACATTAGAGTAGTTGGATATTGATAATAATTTGGCCCAGTTTGGTATAAACATCAGAAGAGCCTGATTTATGAAGGAGCAATATTCAGTTGCATTTTGTTGTGCAAACCAGAGACTGAACTACTTTTGTGTTGCGTCACATATTTGGTAATAATAATAATCCTTGCATTCGGTAAGGGCATAAATTCTACCTTGTTACTTGAATGGTTAATGTATTCAAGGATAGTTTTGGCTAAGGTGACCAAGGAACGACTGGACTGAGTTAAAATGCTGTATTTAACAGTGGTACACAGGAAAAAGTAGCATGTTCTTGTGAACGAAGGTGGCTGTTTCAGATGGTTCTAAACAAAAACCTTGCAGTGAGTTGTTTGGTAATCCTCTTGTGAAGGATGCTGTAAGATTGTCTAATTCTGTAAAATAAATTACCATATGGCCTATTGAAATAAATAATGATAAATAAATGAATTTACATCACATTCTTATCTGGATTTAGATCTTTTAATTTGTAGATACAGTTTGTATACATTGTAATCCATTATGGAAGGGAGCATTGTGCAAGTGAGTATCAAAGGAGCAGGATCAAACACATGAATGCATGGCTGGAGAAATGGTACAGAAAGAAGGGCTTCAGGTCTTGGAACATTGGGACCAGTACTGGGGCAGGTGGGACCTGTACAAGGTGGATGGGTTACACCTGAACATGGGTGGGACTAATGTCCTCGTAGGGAGGTCAACTAGTGCTGTGGGGAGGATTTAAACTAATTTTGAGGGGGGGAAGGGAATCAGGATGTAGCATCAGAAAGGAGAAACAAGTTACACAGAGGACTAGGAGAGACGAATAGCAATGCGATAAGGAGTAGTCCAGAAAAGGCGGGATTAGACGGGGGAGAAATGCAGAGCAGACTAAGTCGGTCTTCGAGTGCATGTGTGTAATAAATAAGATTGGTGAGCTGCAGGTTCAAGTTGCTGCATGGGGTTATGATGTAGTGCAATAACAGAGACTTGGCTCAAACAAGGGCAGGAATGGGAGCTGAATACTCCTGGCTACAATGTATTCAGGAGGGATAGAGAAGGATAAAAGGGGGTGGGTGGAGTGACAATATTGATTAAAGACACGGTTACGGCCTCGGAAGGGACGATGTGCTAGAGGGTCCAAAAACAGAATCTATTTGGTTAGAGTTAAGGAGCAGCAAAGGAGTTGTTGCTCTGATGGGGTATACTATAGACCACCAAATATTAGGAGGGAGGTAGACGAGCAAATCTGCAAGCAGATTTCAGAAAGATACAAAACCAACAGGGTAGGGATAATGGGGGACTTCAATTATTGAAACATAGACTGGCAAAATAATAGTGTAAAGGGCAAGGAGAGGAAAGGATTCCTGAAATCAAGAAACAAGGAGGGAAGCAGTGTTGGATCTAGTTCGGGGAAATGAAGTGAAGCAGGTTTCAGTAGGAGAGCATCTGGACAACAGTCATCACAACATCATTAGGTTTAGGGTACTTATGGAAAGGGACAAGGAGAAATGAAAGGTGAAGATACTCAACTGGAAGAGGGCTAATTTCAGTGAGTTTAAAAAAGGACCTATCCAAGGTGGACTGGAAAAAAAGATTGGCAGCTAAAACAGCTAACGAGCAATAGGAAGTCTTCAAGAAGGAGATAGTTTGGGGACCGAAGAAATATATTCCCACAAAGGGGAAAGGCAGGGCATCCAACCTCCCTGGATGAATAAGGGAATTGGGATTCAAATAAAACAGAACAAGGTTTATGATAAACATCAGATCCAAAATACAGAAGATAATCAAATAGAGAACTGGAAATAAAGGGGGCAAAGTGATTGTATGAGGAAAGATTAGTGGGTAATGTAAAAGGGAACCCTAAGGTATTTTATAAGCATATAAAGAATAAAAGGTTAGCCAAAGGTAGGGTGGGGGCAATTAGAGACCAAAGAGGAAATCTTCTTGTGGAGGCAGAGGACATGGCTGACGTACTGAATGAGTACTTCGCATCTGTCTTCACAAAAGAAGAGGAATTCACAGAAAAATTATGGAAATGAGCAGGAAAGTGAGATTAATGAAAAGAGTTACTTAGAAACATGTGGTAGTTGAATAGGCACAGTAGGCTGAATGGCATATTTTTGTGCTAAATATTTCTGTTTCTAAAGTCTTATCGTTTGTGTTGTGAAAAATTAGGGTCTGTTTAAATGTTAGTGTAGTTTNAAAAAATTATATCCAGCGTGTATATATCACACTTGTTGATTTGTCTTGGGGAACATGCAGACTTTTGTTTCCTTTTACCTCTTTGGAATATATTGACATATCGTGTTTTTTTAAACGAAGATTATCAAAGCATTGCTTATTGTCTGCATTCACACTGCATGAATGTGGATATAAGATAGAAAAGGCTTAACCAGAACATTATTTTCTTTCCCATCACAAAGAAATGTGAGCCCATGAGGTGTAGCAAAATGGGTAAATCTTAGGTTGATTCATTGACAGCTAATCACAATTTAACGTGGCTTTCACTGTGAACCTTTTTTTATGGAGTGCTGTGGCTTAATGATTAGAGCACTCGCCTCACAAGCGAGAGGAACTGGGTTTGATTCCCAGGCATAGCAAAATATTAGGCAAGCTTCCTTCCTCCACAGACCTCTGTTTACCTAACAGTTAGTAGGAACCCGATTGTTAGTCGATTAGCTTTTCTGGGGGTAATAATCCCTTAAATAATAATTTGGTCACTCAATCCATGACTGTTTGTGGGACACAGCTGTGCAAAATTGGCCGCCACGTTTCACCCACAAGATATATATATACATTTTACAGTATATTCTGTGAAGCGCTTTGAGACGTCTTGAAGATGTGATAACATTAAAGATAATAACAAACTACACCTGTATACCATGTTTCACGTCAGGAGGACGTCCCAAGGCGCTGAATAGTCAGGGATCTGCACCTGAGCTTCTGGTTGGAATCAGGAGGGATGGAGGAGGGTAGGGGTAGGAGGGTAACTAAAGGCACAGTCAAATAGGAGGGTTGTAAGACAGGTCTTGAAGGAGGCGAGGAAGGGGGCGAGTCGGAGCGACTGTGGGATGGAGTTCCGAAGCGTGGGGGCAGAGAGGCTAAAGCCCATCCACCAATGGCAGGGTGGGCAAGGCAGAGACATGAAGCAGGTTAGCAGGAGGTTAGGAGGTCACAGAGGTAAGGAGTAGTGAGGCTGTGGTGGGCTTTGAAGGTGAGGACCAGGATCTTGACATTTATCCTCTGAGTGATGGGGAGCCAGTGGAGCCGGGTGGGAGTGATGGGGGTCACAGACGTTGGTGCAGGATAGGACACGAGCTGCAGTGTTTTGGATGAACTGCAGCCGGTCGAGGCCAACAAGCAGAGAGTTTGCGAATTGATCCTGGATGTGATGAATGCGTGGATGAGAATCTCAGCGGCCTGGGATGAGAGACTTGTGGAGACGGGCAATGTTGCAGAGGTGGGAAAGGTGGAGCGGGTCATGGCCCGGATGTGGGGGATGAAGGACAGTTGAGGGTCAAACTGGATGCCAAGGTTCTGTATTGGCTCCATGAGATGTAGATATGGTGCTGTATCAAATGCAAGGATTACTATATGGCTCTGTTGAATAAATGGGTTTATTTTGTATAATGTTTCTGCTCGCCTGAGTTCTAACCAAAAATATACTTTAATCTTACTTTCATATACATTTGTTTGTGGGCAATATCCTTCACATCTTCACGCTGCTAAGCAACGTGTTGTCCCAATACAGCAACTTTGCTCCAACTGTCGTGGAACTGTATTGTTGCTGTTACAATTGAATCAAAAAACTAAAGGAAGCCAAATTGAAGTAGAAAGGAACATTAACATGCAGATATATTCATAAGTCGGGGAAATTGGCAGCAAAGTGATTGTCTACTTGTATCTTTACTATTTAAAAACATTTTTGCAATAGTTTTTTTAACAGCAAAAATTTAAATTTGCATAGCACCTTTAACGTCGGGAGGAAGTTCCAAGGTGCTGGACAGTCAAAAATTTGCACTCCAGCTAGGAGTTGGGATCAGGAAGGGTGGAGGGCAGGGAGGGTACGGGTAGGAGGATAACCAAAGACACCGTCAAAGAGGAGGGTCTTGAGATGGGCTTTGAAGGAGGAGGCGAAAGGATTGTGGGATGGAGTTCCAAAGGGTAAACACAAAGCAGAACACAAACAGCTGAACTGAAAGCTTTATGCCATCGCTGACCCCAAGCGAAGGATGCTATATAAATGCAAGCTATTGTTGTTGTAAAGGCCTTGTAGTTCTGTTCACCCTGAGATTTTTAAATTTAATGTTGGGAAAGTTTGGAGAATTGGTAAGACGTGACTAAGGTTGAGAAGATCAAGAAGAGAAAATAAGAAGAGATCATTAAAATGAAGAAATGGTGGTTGGGTTTGGAAAGCCTGTAATTTGCAAGAAGGGACGATTGGGGGGAGGTCAAGAAAGGCAGCTTTGAGTTCCTAGGAAGGGTTAATTTAGAGTATATTCAAACCACTGTTTTATCCTCGGAAGATTGTATCATGAATGTGAATAGTACATATGTCTGTTTCTGTGAATGCTTAAAAACTGATTTGAATGATTGTAAAGTACTCGAGTGCTTCGAGTAGCAAGTTGTGGATTGGAATTTGAAGAATAGCTGCCTAATCCCATGAG